CTGTGTCTCTCTCTCTGTCAAATAAATAAATAAAATCTTTAAAAAAAAATTAAAAAATTTTAAAAAAGCACGAAAATTAATAAGAGTTCAAGAAGCTGCTGGACACAAGATCCATATATAAAAATGGACAGCATTTCTAAACAAAACGTATAACCAAGTAGGAAAAAAAAATAACCGGTGGAGATAAAAAGCAGGAAATAGACTAAATCCCAATACCCAAATAAAAGAATGATTAGAAAATTTTAAATGATATAAAGCCATAAAAGGACAAAGAAAATATAGGATGGAGACAAACATAAAAGATAACAAAATTCTGGAAAATGAAAAGTGAATGGACGAGTAGTAACTAATCATACTGTAAAAAGCTAAAACCCAACTGTCTACAGAGAAGGGATTTGCATTACAGAACAAAGAAGATTCTGGAACTGCGGAGAAAACTGCCTCTGCAAGCAAGAATAGGCAAGAGGATGAAAATAAGGGTATTGGTTAAAATTCTGAATAAGGAACAGACTTCTTTCATCCCAACACCAACAGGAAACTATCCTTTCCACTTTGGCGAGGGACAGGAGGTTTATTTTTTTGGATAACTTGAATCAGAGAGGTTGAAGAAGACCCAGAGATTTCAGGCAGCAAAGAGCTGGGGTAAGTCTAGTAATTTCTTTTTAAGGTATTAAGCAAAAGCCTACCAGTTGAAGGGTGAGACCCCCCCTCTCTCACCACAGCACCCTTTCATCTTTCAACTCCCTGAATCCTGGAATTGAGCTTCTATCATCCAGACAGAACACTGAAGGGTTCCTCTCTTGAAAAAAGACTTATGAAATGAAAGTTGAGGAATTCTGTCATGAACCAGCCAGATCACCTTGCTCACACAAATAACTTCCAATCAACTTTTTTTATTCATAGTAGTTTTGTTTGTCAGAAGTGGAGAAAGGATGGACTAGCCAACAGGTGGTACTAAGACAATTTGTTATTCAAGTGAAAAAAAAATAGATCCCTAGACATATCATTACACAAAAATAAACCCCAGGGAGATTAAAGACATAAATGGCAGAGGTAAAACTTTACAACTTTTAGAAGAAAATATCATTGTGGGATCATGGGAAGAAAGGATTTCTTAAACATGACATAAAGCAGACAAACCATAAGAAAAGATTATAGGATTAGTGGTCTGTAGTTTGATTGGATTCATTTGTCAAATTCTTGCATAGCAGAAGAGACCACAAAGTTTAAAAACCAGCCACTGAAGGGGAGAAGATAAAGCCACAATATACATTCAAAAAAGGACTGGACTCTAGAAAATATAAAAATATAAAGAACTCATGCAAATAGATAATAGAAGGTAATGACATAATTTTGGGGGGTGCCTGACAGGCTCAGTTGATGGAGCATGTGACTCCTGATCTCAGGGTTGTGAGTTTGAGCCCCACGCTGGGTGTAGAGATTACTTTAAAAAATAATAAAATCTTTAAAAAAGAAGAAGGTAATAACATAATTTTCTTTAAGTCACAAAGAATAGGAATGAAAATTCACTGAAGGAAAAACTGACATGACAAAAGATTAAAATGTTCAACCTCACTAATGACCACGGAAACATCATTTAAAACAACAATGATGTCATACCTAACCAGGGAGGCAAAATCAGAATCCGAACATAGTGGTGCTGAAAAGAGGATCTTGGGTAAATTCGAGCCCCATATTGGGTGTAGAGATTACTTAAAAAAATAAAATCTTAAAAAAAAATACAGAAAAAAAGAAAATATAGCTAATACAAATCTCTGTGGAGAGCAGTGTAGTATCAGTAACATTGAATACGTTACAATATCCGTAAGGTTGAATATGTACAGACAGCATGACCCAGCTACTTCTGGGTATTTATCACAGAGAAACTCTCACATGTATACACAGAGAGATGTGTGCAAAAATGTTCACAGCCGCATTGCTTGTAATTGCAAATAATCAGAAACAATCCAAGCACCCAACAACAAGAAAATGGATAAATTGTGGTTTATTTGTATAATATTCTATGGTGTTAAAATGAACACGCCCATTAATAATAACAGTAAAACAAGTTGCAAAATCCTATAGCATGATGCCATTTATCGGATATTTAAACTTTGCAAACAAACACAGTCGACCCTTGAACAACATGGGTTTGAACTTGGTGGGTCCACTTACATGTAGATTTTTTTGGATAAATACAGTACAGTACTGTAGGTGTATTTTCTCTTCCTTGTGATTATCTTAATAACATGTTCTTTTCTCTGGCTTACTTTATTCTAAGAATACAGTATATAAGATATAAAACATACAAAATATGAGCTAATCGATTGTTTATGTGATGGGTAAGGCATCCGGTCAGCAGTAGGCTATTAATGGTAAAGTTTTGGGGAAGCCAAAAGTTATACTCAGATTTTCAACTCCACTGGGGTTGGCGCCCCTCACCCCGATGTTGTTCAAGGGTCAACTGTACAATTTGTCACTTATGAATACATGCATATGTAGCAAAAATCTAAGAGCATGCGTGGGAATAGTAAATACAAATTCATTACACTGGTTTCCTCAGGCCAGGGAATAAGATCAGAGAGGGGTATGTGGAAGACATCAACTCTACCTAAAATGTTTTCTTTCGTTTTTAAAAGTCAGAATAGGATACAGTAAAATGTTCAGGTTTGAATGGGTTGAATGCATACAAAAGTATTTTTTGTGTTATTCACTATTTTCATGTGAAGATCTAAAAGTTACAGCCAGAAAAGAAAAGAATAAATAGGATTTGTTAGGCAGATTCAGCGGGGAGACATATTTAGGAATGAGCAATGTGTGCAAATACACAAAGGCAAGAACTAGACTGGCTCCTTGGGGGAGTCTCAGATCTTTTGAATTTGCAGAGGGGCTCCTGGGGGCTAGTGCTGCGGGGGGTGGAGGGGGGGGAGTCAGGAGCAAGGGAGGAAAAGCAATTTCTCATACCAACAAAATTCAACTTTAATTAGGAAGCACTGGGAAGGTGTGGGAGGGTTTTAAGCGCGTGACCTTTGAATAAATCCACTCTGACCAAGGGATGGAGAGTGGTTGGATTCAACTGAGAAAAGAAGCTGGGACACTAGAATTGATGGGTAGACCTGGGACCACAGCTGAGGTATAATTTTAAATAGTCTGGAAAGAATCTTACTAAGGATTCATACTTCTCCAGAGTAACAACAAACTGCTTCACATACAAAATATAGTAGTAAGTACAAAAGCAACTACGCATTTATTTATCGTGCAGGGAAAAAAAAAATCAGCCATTATTAAAAGAATTCCAGTTCAGAGGTGAGAGGGTTTTGTCATTCTTACTGGATCTCCCATTTAGTCCTTTGGGTACTTATTAGAAATGAATTTTTACAGTTTTTTTTTTAATCCCACATGATGGAAATTGGTGCTCTCTTTATAGACATGGGAGACCATGCAGCGACAGTGGAAAAGTCTGCCAATCTCCAGTGGCCTTATTACTTTATTTCAGTGTCTGGACCCACTGTCTAGAAATCATGTCAGTACAGCAGAAAAAGAGGAAGTTAAGTCCGAAAACATAATTTTTATGGAAAGAATACTGGTAGAACAATAGATGGATATATATGTGAATAATAAAAAGGCACAGAACTGTGCATAAGAAATATTGCCTCGGGTGCCTGGATGGCTCAGTTGGTTAGGCGACTGCCTTCGGCTCAGGTCATGATCCTGGAGTCCCGGGATCGAGTCCCACATCGGGCTCCCTGCTCAGCGGGGAGCCTGCTTCTCCCTCTGACCCTCCCCCCCCCTCTCTCATTCCCCCTGCTTGTGCTCCTGCTCTAGCTGTCTCTCTGTCAAATAAATAAATAAAATCTTTAAAAAAAAACAACTGTAACTTCTAAGGGCAAGGATGACCATGAGGAGCAAAATGACACTTCAAACAGAGTAACAGACACGGTCCAGAGCCTGCATGTCCAACTCAGTTTTCCCTCCGCTATGATCTCCAAACATCCTCTCCTAAAATAGACATGATGATCTATCCTTGTGTAGATGCTGTTCAGCTTGGAGCTATTTGGGGGGCGGGGGGAAGGATGTAGTAGAAATATCCTGGTTTTATTCCTGGTCCTCTCTATGTCCTCATGCTTATTTGGCCCACATTACCTTCCAGAGAATAGAAGGTATTTGGGGCAAAATACTCTAAGACAAGAAGAGCACAGGCCTTTTGAAAGTCAAAATTGTTTTCTTGGTGTAGAAAACCCACCTTCTGAGATGACTTCTCATCGGTAGGAGGTAAAGGTTAATATAAATACATTTTTTTATTAACACGCCTTAGTCCTAAGACTGGATGCTTCCATTTCTACTCTCTGACCTCAGAAATTAGCAAAGGTTAAAAAGAACAAAGTAGAAAGCATAACTCTTCTACTGCTCCCTGACGCGCGTCTCCCTGTGTTTTCAGCAAAATCATGTTTGTTTTGCAAATTGGGAGCAGTGCGCAGACGGACAGCTGCAACAGTGACGTGAGCGGCCCGCGCGCCGCCGACAAAGCCGTGCTGCTCCAGTACAGCGTCAACGGCGGCATCAGCTGGCACGTGATCGCGCAGCACCAGCCCAAGGACTTCACGCAGGCCCAGAGGGTGTCCTACAACGTCCCCCTGTAAGTGGCCCGACCCCTGGGGATCGCCGAGATTGAGCTCCTGCGCCCACACCGCCCAGTGGGTGGTGGCGGAACCGAGCCGCAGCCCGAGCTCCAGAGCTGGGTTGCTGTTTCCCGTGAGGCCGGGAGGAGGCGCACGAGGGAAGAGAGCGTGTCGCTGAACGCAGGGGCGCCGTGTGCCTGTTTCCCTTTCTCTAGCGGGTATTTCTAGTCCTTTAGAGAAGAACGTTTTTTCATTTTCGGGGTGCACTCCTTTGAAAGTTTTCTGCGGCTAGGCAACGGTGTCACTTTGGTTCGGCACCGCACCCCCAGTTCTAGCACAGCGCCTGTCACACAGAAGGCATGGCCCGTACGTGGGCCGAATTCGGTGCCCTTCCTTCCAGCTGCTGCCGGAGCCCGGGGAGGCAGGGAGGGAGAGGGAAGCGGACTACACGTCCTTGAGTCGCCACTAAAACTTAATGCTGCTCAGAAGAGTACCGTGACCTAAGCAAATCCGAATTCCGTACCCTCAGTCGTGTTGATTTAGACTGGCCTGTTATCTTTGAGGTCTGGAAATGGCATACCAGAAAGTTTTGTCTTCCAGCGCGTAACCTCTTTGTCCTTCTGTGACCCAGGGAGGCACGGATGAAAGGAGTTTTATTGCGCTGGTGGCAACCTCGCCACAATGGAACAGGTCATGATCAATGGGCTTTGGACCATGTGGAGGTCGTCCTGTGAGTATCTGATACATAGCGTCCCATGTCCATTTCGGGAAGGTTTGAAATTCTTTTGCTATGGCACGCTCCTTAATTCAGTAACAACCGTTCCTGATGAGAAGCCCCCACGAGACTTTGGCCTATGCCCTTCAGCAACTGCAATCTGTAGCTCGAGTCAACCTGAAGTAGCAAAGTCCCCAAAGCAATTTAATATGCCTTAGAAAACTTCGATAAGCAAAAGACGTATCTGCGGATTTGACCATATTAGTGAAATTGGATAACACAAAAGTCTCGAGGTAAATGGGAAACAATGTCTTTGCCGCATCTGGGTTGCCTTATGAGATGGCATGACATCCTGAAGAGAGAAGGGGTCTATTGCTAGCTAAGGCGCCCAGTTACAAACACCTGTCTGAGCCACAGATGCCCAAGGCATACTTCCGTGCGATGACGCGATGGCCACTGGAGCGAGGAATTTGTGGTTTCAGATCCCCCCCTGACCAACCCCAGCATCGAGCACGTGGAGGGTGTTCCCCCGTGGTTTCTCCCATATAATAAAGTTGGCACTGCTCTCACCTAGCCGGGTTGACTGTTCTGCAGAGAGATGACTTGCTTTTTCTCTAACGATCTAGTTCCTGTAGAACTGGAATGCTTATGTCTCGACGGGTTCGGACTGATGGCTCCAAGTGGTTGGCAAGGAGAGGCGAATCTTCTCGGTAGATAGGTTCAAATGTTCATTCTGTTTACCAAACCGAAAATGAAATCAGTCCTTTGGCTGATTTCAGTCATTTTGAAAGCAAACTTAAATGATTGATTGGTAGGCAAACTACCAGATTTGTTTTCTTTCAATCATAGCCATGAGCTGAATTTTTCAGCCTTGAGTTAGCCCTCGTCTTAGTTTTCACTGAGGCACCTGCTTGCATGGCATCCATATCAACCCCCAAATCCAAGAGCAACCTGGTCCCTACACAAGCCCCCACTGTGCGCTCTGCTGCTTTGGACAACTTGCTGGGCTCTGCCTCCACAAGACAAAGTTGAAGTTTAAAAACAGTCCAAACTCATTTGGATCTATACATGAGGCTGATGTTTTACTTAGACGTTGACTTCCTCAGAACACATTCTTCCAGGAGAATAGAATATAACCTGGGCTCTAAAATGCATACATATATATAGTAAGGCCAGAGATATGTCCAGATAGACCAAAAACCAACCCTACAACCTTTCTGCCCCAACTACTCTCCTTTCAGAGCAGTGCTTCTCAATCTGATTGAACATCAGAATCACTTAGGAGCTTTTGGAAGAAGCATCCCTACAGATGATTTGATTTTAAATTGATCTACAGTGGGACCTGAGCATCAGTCTTTTTTAAAAGCACCTCGGGTGATTCTAATAAGCTGGTTGAGAATCAGATTTAGAGTCAATAAACACTTTTTATCTTTCAAGTCTCTTGCCAAGTCAGTTTACATTAATGGGGCTTCCTGTGCCTGACAAAGCCTTACCAACTTCTATGGAAACTTCAAAACTTGACAGTCCTCAAAAGAAGGCAGTTAATACTGCCCTGGGGTAGACATATCATATGTGCGAGTAGCTATTTCTTCTCCTGCCACCCAGCCAAGCAATTTCAGTTATTGGTTTTGGATTTCAGAGGCTTATCATCACCATAATACCCTCCCTTAGACAAAATTAAAGAGCAGGTGGGCTCAGCTGTGCAAATATCCTCCCCTGGTATGAAACAACCCCTTTGCAACTTTGAAGCAGAACTCTGTTCTTTGTTCCCTATCCTGGAATGCCTGGTGTTGATACTAATTTTTAGAAGCAGCCACCAGCATCATGATATTACTGTAAGAGTCAAGTTCAGATTCTCTGGAATCTATCATATCAATCATACCTATTGTTTCTGGTATTTTTCTGGAGAAATAATCTGTATTTGTAAAGACTTCACTTTGATTCCATCTCCAGAATTTTAGTACTTTCAAGAATTTATCACTTACCAGGCACCTGTCTGCTCTTACCTTGCATGGTTCTCTCGGATTTTCAGGGCACTAAAACATTTTGAGTGAGGAATGAGCATCACCACACATGAATAGTTTCAGTGAATAATTTAAAACTTATAGCTTCACGCATATCACCATATAATTTTATTTTTATATATTACACAGGTAATTTTAAAAGCAAATGCTATCTCTTTAATGACGTTTTAAAATTTGTTAAAATTATAGGAGTCGCTTGGTTTTCTTTCCTTTTCTTTTAATACCAATACAGAGAAAGTATATTTTCAGAACTATCGTTTTGATATTTTGCTCTTGTCTTAGGATTTAACATTTCTATATCACTGTACCCTTTCAAAGTACTTCTTTTCAGAAGAGTCAAAAGTTTTAAGGCATTTACTAATTAATATGCCCTTGATAGCGCTACAGATTAATTACTTTAAGTTACTCATTTGATAAGCTTAAAATAAAAAAGAAAGTTCCAGAGAATTCAGAAAAATAATTTTCCAGAGTGTCTTTCAACCAAATGAGGCGCAGAGAAGCTATCCAAGGCTAATTTCATGATTCACAAATAGTGCTAATTTTAATTTTGCTACAGTGAATGTGTATTTAGAAATAGATAGAATACTCCCATATATCCCTAATAATTCAAAATATCCTCGAATTCACTATACTCTTATATGATAACATTTAGTTATATAAACTAGTATGGCTAACTCCTCAAGTGTGGACAGGAGAGGAGACTGGGATGCAAATCTAAAGAGATACAAGCCCTGCCTAACTGATTACTGCAAAGAGGGCTGCTAATATGTTTTTGCAACTAATGGTTGGAAAACCATTACATTTTTAGAATGTATTTTCTTTTCTGAGTGCAGACTGGCCTAATCTAGCTTTATCACCATAGTTTTGCTTCTGTGCATGTGCAGTAGGGACACATGCTAAAAATCCCTAGAAAGAAAAATTGTGGTCATGCATGGTATCTTGAGTTTAACCTCACTACTGCCCATATTAACTAAGAAGAGAAAAGAGTTTGATGAGAACAAATTCAGCACTTCTGAAAATATTTCAAGGCTTAAGGAATGCATCCTAAATTGACAACATACATAATAAATGTGTAATCTCATGGCTTAATTCTAACATGCTCCATGTGGAAGGATTTGCATTTCATAAATATGGATGTACAGAGTGACAGTCCCCACACCATAAAGATAAAAAGCACCATTTATCATTTAACAAGCAAAGTTACTTATGCTTTATGCTTGTTTGAGAGTGAAATCTTTTCGTTCTCGTGATGTTTTTCAGTAAAACCTGCCCATGAAAAGCACTTCATGATGACTGGCCCCTGCTATTCTGGCATAAAACAGATGGACTGAATTGACAGATGACTTTTTTCCCAGCCTCACTAGCTTACCAAAAGGCCTTATTCTGTAAAGTCTGAACGATGTAGCATAACACAGTCACTGACAATCATGTCAGAAACCTAATTTCTCTGAATTCATTTGCTAGCATAGAACGTTTTTCAGTAAATGTTTGTGAACACACTTGGGCAGACCCCTCACAAGATCCATGCTGGTGGGGTTCTTCTTAGGATAAAAGAAAATTATTGGTCTTAATCTTTTCTCTTGGGCACTCATCCTTCTATCCTAAGAATCTCCCTCACCCAACTATGCATTTCATTCACACATCACATTTTTTTGTGTACATGTTTAAGTCACAACCTGTCATGTGTATAATGAAGTGGGCCAATTTTTGCATGTGTACCTTGAAAGCAAATTGCTCAGTAAAGAGCCTTTGTGAATTGATTTCCTAAGAAGTGAATTTTTACCACATTTACTGGGAATGAAAACCAATATGTTGCTAACTATGGTCTTAAACGCATCTATCAGATTTTAATAATATGAGTACCATCATGACCATCCCCTCATGCTATTCATTATCAAAATACTGTCATTTTTGGCACAAATGATTTATGGAAATGAGCATAGTACATTTGTTGCAAAGCATATTTATCCTTTATTAATTTGACTGTGTTATCTGATGTAGTGGACTTCTGTATTTTTTAAAGCCCATTCCTTAATATATTCAGAAATAAGCATTTTTCTAAAATGTAAATAATTGAAAAAACAGCAAAATTAATGTCAGTTATTAACTACTACTTTCGTATTTATACTTTATACGCAACATTTATGCCAAATGTAGTACTAAGCTACATGTACCTTGACATATGGTTATGAGCAAATATTGCATGTTGCATTACATTAAAAAGTTAAATATATGTATATATTAGGTGTAGAAGAATAAGAAATAACTTCTTTAATTTTTATTTTCAAAAGAGATGAAAAATCCTATATTGCATCTAAACCTGATCAGACTTTTATGACTAATCACAGTGCTGCATGCATTGAAAGGCATTTTTTAACTTGTGTTATATTTCATTATTTGCTGTCATTGGTTTTCCACTAGAGTAAGGTAAGTCCTCTTACTAATTCTGGGTAATTGTTGACCAATAGTTTCATCAGTGTTACCTACATTAAGAGAAGTGTTGTCAAAGACCTTTGCAATTACAAAAAAAAATTTGTGAGAACAAAGTTGTATATGACATTGAGATACACTGGGACATTTGAAACCTATATCATGTAAACTCAGGGTTCAGCAACCTTGTGGCAGTTCTCTAATGTATATGCAATGTTGGGCGTAGACAAAGTGCTAATCAGCATTGCTTCATTGGGTAACAAATTTGACTCTATGCCTGGGACTGTATTAGGTGCTTTTGAAGTGCTCATAGTTTATAAACTTGTGAGGGGAAATTAAAACCAGAAATGTGTGCAAAAGACCTAGGGGCTCTGATTAAATGTAATGTCTTTCAAAAGATCTATTGTGCTGGAGATGAGTGAGGGTAACTTGACTTTTTAATTTTATTCTAAATTAATAAGTGAATTGGCAGAAGGTAGTGGACTTATTCATAATATTGGTGAGTTCTAGATCCTATTCTTAGGTAAGATTTGCCCTCTTTAATAGGTAGCTGCATTTATCCTCTAGTGGAGATACTTTAAGACTTAGGAAAGAAATTAAAATGATTATCATTTATTAATCATCTGCATATTATGCTAGAAGTTTCCATTTAGTCCTTACAATTCCCTGAGGTACATGTTACCAGATATTACTCTCCTTACCACTTAACAGAGAAAATAGATATGAAATCTTCAACATTTGTGAGATATATGAGTCTACACTTATTTCTGTGTGGCCTTCCTGAAAATGCATGGTCTTGAAAGTGAAATATCCAGCATCCTCTATGCAGGGGAGTTTCATTGATTAGTTTGATCGGCAGCTTCTCATCTGACCCTCACCGATATTTCTCTGGAAGATGTGACAATTCACTGAATTCTTATTTCTGCATTCATATGAGGTGTTATTTATTGTATCATATGTTTTGGTAATAAATAAATTAATTACAGATCAGTAAAAATACTTACATTTCTATGAGCTCAGATTACTTCTACCAAGTCTCTGTCTTCCCCATTTCCATAAGAACCCATTAAAAATCAATAGAATTTTTTTCATAATAATTAATGACCTAAGATACTGGCTCCAGTGAGGAGTAACAGTTCAAAAGAGCACAGTCATTCTTGAAAATTCTTGCAATATCCGGGGTGTCTGGGTGGCTCAGTTGTTAAG